CCGGCGGTCCGCGGCCACCGCGTCGGCCTGAACGCGCCGAGTCACGGCAACGGCCCGGCCGGTGCGCGGCCCGCTGCAGCTCGGTGCAGTGACGATGCACTGTCGATGAGATGACGGTGTGGGGCCGCCAGAGCGGCTGAGGCTGAGGTAGTGCCGCCGCGAACAGGGGTTCAAATCGCTGCGCTAAAAATCCCCAAGATCACGCAGGTAAGACGGCACAGAGTGCGTTTTCTTCCTACTGATACGTAAGCGTGAACTGATTGTGACAGTGAATCTCGGTACGATGACGTTTGACCTTCAACCCTTTTGTCGAACTCGAGTCGTGTTTGTGTGAATCCCATTGAGAGCCGAGTCCGTCCAGGGAACGGAATGAAAGCACCGTCGCACCTTCGGGCAGGTTAGGTGCGGATGGGTCTCGACCCGAACCTGCACGGCAGAAAAGGAGACAAGGTATAGAGGGACTCAGGTGAGGAGGAGAAGGAGGTGGAGAGGAGAGGCAGCCGGAGCCCCAACCTGGCAACCTGGCATAGCGCCGACACCCCTCCCCCTCCCCCGCAGCCCCCCGCTGGCGTGCGGACCAGGTAACACTAGGCCCGCCTGCAGCGCGGCAGCCCGGAGCGCGGCATGGCGGAGTGACGCGCAGGTTTGGTGAATCTCTCGTCATTGCTCGAGCCCACTCCCCTCGGCTGGCAGTGCAACACATCCCTTCCTTCGCCTCCCCGGCGGCGTCACCTCGCGTGCAAGTCCTCGAGAGCGCGAAGCGCACGGTCGGGGGAGGGGCCTGCCGTGAGTGGCGCTGAGGTGATGTAGCGGGGGCCGCGGGCAGGGAGGGCGGGCGGCCGCGGCGCCGGGCCGCGTGTGTCGCGTGTCGCGGCTTTGTCTCGCCGTCCGTCGCCCGCCAAAGGAAAGTGACTCTTCTTTTCATGGGGAGAATTGGGAGATAAGAATGGGATGCAAAAGGAAACTGACCCTCGAGCAGCCAGCCTGCGGTGTGAGCGCACATGATCCCAAGGCCCCCGACCCGTCCCCGTCCAGCCGCTTCGCTTTGTTGTATCGTCCCTCCGGACGGGGCGACCACGACCCACCTGGCCGCAGGTCGGCCGAGGCGCGGCGCTCGGGGCCTCGTCTGTACGGCGGACAGGTTGGGAGGACGACCCAAACATGATGCCCTAATCCGGTCCGTGTAATCCCGACAGGTTCACCAACATCGCACCTACCTCCGCGGGGCGGGCGCGCGCCGGCCGGGTGTGGTGCGGGTGCGGCGGGCTGGCCGTCGCATCCCTTTGCTCCCGACCACCAAGCCCCGTCCCCCCGCTCTCCTCACACTTTCGCGCCGGCGGCAAGCGCGAAAGACCGCGCACTTTTCGCGTAGCGCGTGCTGAGCACGGGGGCGTGCAGTGTGCACTTGGCTGGGGGCGACGGGGGCGGGGCGTGGAGCGGCCCACGGAGGCCTAACCCTTCCATCTCCGCATTGGCATTCGATACGGGTGGCGAGTCCCTCAAAGGGCTCTGCTCGGCTTGGCGACTCACGCCCCAAGAACCCAGAGGCGCCGCGCCGTGTCCGCCCCCCGCTCTCCAATGCGACGCGATGCGATGCACAGTGCGGCCCCACCCCACCCCGCCCTCACGGCAGTCCACGCTACACAGGTCCTCTGATTAAGCCCGGGTCAAAGGGGTCCCGCTCAACTCCTTCAGATGTTGACACTCGGCGCCACCGCCGCACGCCCCGACCCGACCGCCGCCCCGGCCAGCAGCGCGCGGCCGCGTCAGCAGCGAGCAAACGAGGCAAGGGGCGTCGAGGACGCGGGGCGGGGGGTGCTTGTTGGGGGGCGGCGAGGCTGTCCGTCTGTACACGAGAGCAGGCCGGGCCACAGGATTAGCGGGCCGGGGCCATAGCCGCGTAATACCTGCCGCAGCCGAGCCGCACGCCGAGCCGCACGGGGCCTCAAATAAAGGGAACTCAATTCTGGGGCGGAGGTGGAGATGAGCGCCCCGCCCCGCCCCGCCGCGGCAGTAAGGGCTGAGCTCTGCCACGCCACGCCGTGCAAGCCGTGTTTACAGCCGCCCTCTGCTGCAACCCCTCGGGGGGTAAAGACCACGGCCTGGCCCGCGTCCTCCTCCGGGGTGACGAGCGCGGAGTAACCTGCTGGGGGCGAAAGAGGAAAAAAAATCTATCCCGCTCGGCTGGCACCTTCGGCTCGGCGTGCTCCGCGGCGCTGCTGGACGGTAACAAGGTGCGCCGGGCTTAAAGAAGAGAAGCACGTCCCGTCAAAATGGAACGTCCGCCGATGATGGCGCTCTCCTCGGAGAGGGTAGCGGAATGAGAGAGCAGGGCGGCTGCAGAGGTCAGACTGCGAGAGGAAGTGCGAGGGAGGGGAGGGGGCGGGCGGGAGAGGGAGGGGGAGGAGGGAGCAGCACCTCTGACCGGTCAGCGAGGCCCGGACCCCCGGACCTACTTTTTTACGAGTTTGGAAACATCCCAGTTTACGAGTTTAGAAATATCCCCTCCGCTTTTTTTACGAGTTTCGAAACATCGTGTTGTTTTACGAGTTCCGACACGGATCCCTTTGTAATTGAACACAAAGGTTTTAGTTTGTTTTTACGACATTGAAATGAGAAGTGACTTTCAATTTGAACTTGGTGATGTCGGACATGTGATCCACTCGGTACGCGCGTGCTGTGCAGTCCGCGATGAGGTACTCCGCTGTGTCCGCGTGGTGCGTGCGGCGCGGTGGCTCGCGGTAAGCTCGGACGTGAAGCCACGCTGGAGCCACCCTGGAGCCAGGCAAGAGCCATGCCGAGGCTCTTTTTGGTTTATTGCAAATTGGAGCATGGTCGTACGTGTCATAAAAGCGTGTAAGGGAGACGAGAAGGCTTGACACGTTTTCACCCTCTCACATGTGCTTCTTCTCCCTGGCGAATCAGATGGTGAATGGAATGTAAGGGCTGGACTGCTCATTGAGCTTCATACGAAGCAGACCGAAGAGCGCACTTTTCAAATAATCGGATTCTTCGCGCCATCCCGGCCCGGGCTGTGGCGGGTCTGCACCTCTAGGGACTGGTGGCGGCATCTAGTGTGGAGTCGGTGAACTGGCCGGCATCCATCCAGCTCGGCCGGTGCGGTCGCCGGCGCTTATAAAGCTGTCGATGTGTTCTGCGTCCTGAGATCTGCCGTTTAGTTTTAGGGCGAGAGTACAACTGGTAGATTGTTCACACGGGCGCATCGCGTTTTGCGATGTCCGTGGACCTTCCTCACTTTGGCCCAGCACACAGGCAGGATGTGCGCCGGGCGATATGTCGTCAGCATGCATGGCACCGTCCCATTCCGAGCGGAGCTAAGCGCAGCCCAAAGCCATTCTAACGGCGAAATTAATTTGAACGCTCTGGAAGCTTTGTGGCGGCCTGCAAATCATCATTATGTATTCCATTACAGCGAGATAAGGCGAAGAGGACGCGCTGCCCGGTCGGCCCGTAACGTCACCCACCCCAATCTCTCCCCCTCCCCCCATCTCTCTTCCTCTTCCTCTCCTCCTCCCCCTTCTCCCTCTCCCTCTCCCTCTCTGCCCCTCACCCCTTGCTCCAATCCACCCCTCTCCCGTGCTCCATCTCTCCTCCGTCCTGCATTCGCTCTCCTATCCTCTTGTCCCTCTCTCCTCTCCGTGTTCTTGTGGCCAAGCCTCACCTTCGAATCTATTCAGGACGCCCTGTGACTCTCATTAAGCAGGGAAACATCCCCTCCCTTCACCCCGCCC